GGAGCCCATCAGGTCGAGGCTGCAGTGGCTGGGAGCGGCCACTGCACTCCAGTCTGGGCGACAGAGTGAGACTCCAACACAAAAAAATATAAAAATATAAAAACAATAAAATGTCTTATAGTTAGTGCATAGGGGTTGTAGGCCCTTCAATATTTTTCCCCCGAATTGAGGATTAAGGTCAGAAAAGATGGCCCTCCAAAAAATAAATCTAATGAGTAAGAATCAATATAAAAGCATATGAGGTTAGCCAACAAAGAAAGTAACTCACCATACAAACTGGTTTATAAATATGCTGTTACTGAGATTATGGTGGCCCAAATGTCATCAAGAATCTACAGATCTAAATCTAATCTAAGAAATCTTAGAAACTACAAAGTGAGACTGCAAAGACAGATGAAAGGTGGTAGAAATATACTGTCAAGAAAAAGGAGAGGCCGGAGCAGTGGCTCACACCTATAATCCCATCGCTTTGGGAAGCTAAGTCAAAGGGATTGCCTGAGCCCAGGAGTTCAACACCAGCCTAGAGAAAATAGTGAGATTGTGTCTCTACAAAAATAAAAAAATTAGCCATGGCAATAAGTGCCTGTAGTCCCAGCTACTCAGGAGGTTGAAGTAGAAGCATTGCCTGACCCCAGAAAAGTGAGGCTGTCATGAACCATGATCATGCCACTGCGTTCCAGCCTGGGTGACAGAGTTGAGATCTCAACTCAAAAAAAGAAAAAGGAGATTTAAATGATAAACAGTTTGTCAATGTCACCCACTTGGTCCCAGGTGGATGAGGTAAGATATCTAAGCATGCAGGGACAAAATGGAAAATGCCTCAGGATAGCTAAGGACAAAATATATTTCCTGGGGCAAACACACCTTCACTCAGTTTTCTGGATTAGATGGCATTCACAAAAACAACCTTCCAAATCATAATTTGGTCTCCCGAGAACATCTAGCCACCAAGGAAGAGGCTGTTCCAGGCAAATGAGTACAGGTTTTCAGTCGGATAGTGCTCCTGATTTTAATTAGGACTGGCATACTGGAGCCTAAATCAGTTTTTCATGAGTGTGACTTCTGAATCTAAATGGAGAGCCAGGCCTACTCAAGACACAGCCATCAGGTGAAGCTTGCACTGTCAACTCTGGCACGTATATCTTTTTCTCTCAGAAAAGAGACCGGCTGACTGGGTCAAAGGCTAAGTCAACTTCATAATCGTTCACCACAAACAAAAGAACCGGGACACTAAGGGATATATCCAAAGGTTGTTAAGTCTGGTCAGACTTGGTTGCTGACTCCAGTCAAAATCAGTTCCTTCTTAAAGATAAAACACAGCATACACACCTTGGTTAGATTGTTCTGGTAGATGGTGTTCAGGCGGCTCACATAGGCATCCCGCTTTTCCTTAATAACACTGCAATGAAACCTGAGTCAGTTCTCCAAAAATGATTTTCTTCTTTCAGTCAGTAACTAGGGTATCTGTCCCTGAACACCCCTGAGCAGAGAACCACAGGCTGTTAATGAGAACCTCAGTGAGTGAGGATCTCTGGAGACAGTCATCCCTGCCCCGTGCCCATCTGCTTTCTGACCTGGTAAGAACCCTTCCTTCCACTCAGTGGAGAATGCTCAGCTGGCATCCTCTCTCTGCACAGGAGACAAGGAGAGATGCTTTGATACAGTGCCTAGGACGTGGTGGCCACTTAAAAAATATTTGCTGAATAAATGAATTTGCCAAAATTTTTTGAAAATTTGATGGTTCCAAAAGATATATGGCAGTTCTTAAAAAGTTAAACATAGAGGCCGGGCATAATGGCTCACACCTATAAACCCAGCACTTGCAGAGGCTGAGGCAGGAGGATCACCTGAGCCCAGGAACTCAAGGCTGTGTTGAGCTGTGGTTGTGCCACTGCACTCCAGCCTGGGTGACAGAGCAAGACCCTGACTCAAAAGCTCCCCCAAAACAGAACTGCCACATAATCCAACAATTCCACTTCTAGGTATAGATCCAAAAAAATTGGAAGCAGAGAATTGAAAAGATACCTCAAGTATACCAATGTTCACAGAAGCACTGTTCACAATAACCAGAAGGTGAAAACAACCTACAAGTTCACTAATGCATGAATGGATATTAAACAAAATGTGGTCTATTCAGACGATAGAGTATTGTTCTGCCTTGAAAAGGAATGAAATTCTGATACTTGCTACCACATAGGTGAAACTTAAAAACATTATGTTATGTGAAATAAGCCAGAAATAAAGGAGCAGATATTTTGACTCTATTTTATGAAATACCTAGAATAGGCAAATGTATAGAGACAAAAAGTGGAACAGAGTACCCAGGAGAGAGGAGAATGGGGAGTTATTGTTTAATGGTTAGAGTATCTGTTTGAGATGGCAGAAAAGTTCTGGAAATGGATAGTTGTGATAGTTGAATAACAATGTAAATGTACTTAATACCACTAAACTGTACATTTAAAAACGGTTAAATTGGGCCAGGTGCAGTGGCTCACACCTGTAATCCCAGCATTTTAAGAGGCGAGAGGACTGCCCGAGCCCAGGAGTTCAAGACCAGCCTGGGCAACATAGCAAGACCTCATCTCTACAATAAATTTAAAAAATTAGCCGGGTATGGTGGCGGGTACCTGTAGTCTCAGTTATTTAGAAGGCTGAGACGGAAGGATTGCCTAAGCCCAAAAGGTCAAGGTTGGGGTATCTATGAGCCTGCCACTGCACTCCAGCCTGGGCAACAGAGTGAGAGTACAACTTAAAAAAGTAAAACGGTAAATTTTCTGTTACATATATTTTACCAAAATACCTCTCCCATTCCTCAAAAAGTTTATGGCTCACTTAGTTATGAGAGAAAAGTATCTACATTTGTAAACTGAACCTCAGAGCATTGACACTTACCGCCAATTAAATTTACCCTCACAACTTTGAAAGCCATAATCCACATGGTCGTGCATGAATTCAGAGTGGACGGCTGTGTTCCACATCACCTGTAAAAAAGGACCCAAAACAGTAATGCATGAGTCCGGAGGGAAGACAGGAATCATAAATGAATGGTAACTATGTAATAACATATAAAAAGACTGAACTTTAAATTAAAAACAAATCTAAACATTTTAAAAAGGAAAGATCAGAAATATGACCAGGTGGTTTTGATAGTGAGGCTTTCTGCAATATTGGGGAAAATTATTTCTACTGTTAAATTACCTAGTTTATAAACACTATAAAAACAGAATATATGTTCGGCATGATGGTTCACACCTGTAATCCCAGCACTTTGGGAGGCGGAGAAGAGAGAATTGTCTGAGTCCAGGGGTTCAAGACCAGCCTGGGCAACTTGGTAAGACTTCGTCTCTACAATAAATCAAAAAATTAGTTGGGCATGGTGGTGCACACCTGTAGTTCCAGCTACGTGAAAGGCTGAGGCAGAAGTATCACAAGCCCATCAGGTCGAGGCTGCGGCGGCTGTGAGCATGCCACTGCACTCCCAGCCTGGGCAACAGAGTGAGACTCCGACTTAAAAAACAAAAACAAAGATTACAGATTCCATAGTCCTTCCTTTAAAACTCATCACTGCTTACATTGACTTTTTTTAAAGTTTTACTTTTCTTTAAGCCCTGCCCTTTTTGATTTGGTTTCAGAAAACTTTACAGGAAGGTGATTCAGAAAAAACCATTACATAAAGTTGAGAACTGAAATTTTTAAGAGGATGAATTCCTATTATGTATTCAGTACCTAACTATGAACATGCCCTTATAAGGATGTATGTCACTAGAAGTTGGAACTCAAAGGTTCAATACGCCCCTTGTGGAACGTAGGCTATACTTAGATGCTAACAGATCATTACAATGATGAAATTCACAGGCCGGGCTCGGTGGCTCAGCCTGTAATCCCAGCGCTTTGGGAGGCCAAGGTGAGTGCACTGCCTGAGCCTGCGGGTTCGAGACCCACCTGGGCAACTTGGCGAGACCTCATCTCTACAATAAATCAAAAAACTAGCCAGGTGTGGTAGCGTGCGCCTGTATTTCTAGCTTCTTGGAAAGATGAGGCGGAAGGATCGCCAGAGCCCAGCAGGTCGAGGCTGCGGTGGCCAGGAGCGGCCACTGCACTCCAGTCTGGGTGACAGAGTGAGACTCCAACTCAAAAAAAAAAGGAAATTCACATCAGCGACTGGAAGTCCAGATAAAAAACTCTCATTTTTCTGTCAGATAAGCTTTAGATCCATTTTTGACAAGCCCTAGATGCCTTCTTTGTACCTTTCTCTCTTTATGCCTAAAGATGAATATATTGATGACCCCACTAGATTTTTTAAAAATCTAGGTGAAATTCATGTAACACAGAATTAACATTTTGTCTGCTCGATTTCTTATCTTAAACACTACATGATTTATCAATACTACAAGTAAATTATGCTTAATAAACATCATTTCAATGCTTATCACCATGAGGTACATATTTATTTACTTCCAATTCACGTTACATGTGATCCTACAACATCAACCACCCCCTGGAGAGGACAGCTCTATATGACCTCTGGGCAGTGAGGCTCAGACCTAATCAGGGTGGAAGGGGCCAGGCAGGTTCATCCTTCTGATTCCTTCTCTATTTCTGTCTCACTCTACCTATCTTCTGGCAAGGGGAGTAACTGTGGGCTTTGATCTGTTCTACAAAATAAGAGGCAATTACCACCTGATCCTCAAGAGTGCAAAGCACTCTGAAATCAGTAGAACCCTATAACATATATAACATCAGTAGAACCCTATAATATATAATATATATATCAATGTGTACCACATGTGATCAGAAGGAATAAAACATAACATATGGGAACAAAATATTACAAATTCAAATTACTGTGCAGTATTAGGACAGTGTTTTTTTTTATTAATGAGGTAGCACCAATCAACACTGAATTGACTACCATAGTTTGAATTACATAAAGCCACCTTATAATTAATTTACATAATTCATATAGCCATAATTGTGTGACTCTAAGTAGAACAGATTCCAAAAAGTAGGACTAAAAGGAAATAATTGAGGGAAAATGCCCAAAGAAAAAAGGAAATTTTCCTAAGACAGAAAGAAAAATGTCTATCTATTCTAGGGAACAGATTTCAGAAAATCTTTCTGAAATTAAACTCAGGTGTGCATCGCTGATGGGATTAGAATATTTGCTTATGGCTGGGCTCAGTGGCTCAGCCTGTAATCCCATGCTTTGGGAGGCCGAGGTGAGTGAATTGCCTGATCCCGCGGGTTCGAGACCCACCTGGGCAACTTGGCGAGACCTCATCTCTACAATAAATCAAAAAAAATTAGTCGGGTATGGTAGCGCGTGCCTGTAGTTCCAGCTACTTGGAAGGCTCAGGTGGAAGGATCGCTGGAGCCCAGCAGGTCAAGGCTGCGGTGGCCAGAAGTGGCCACTCCACTCCAGTCTGGGCGACTGAGACTCCAACTCAAAAAAAAAAAAAAAGGAATATTTACTTAATATCATTAATATCAAAAAAGACGACAATTTAAAATGGAATGTCAGCTGGGCTCGGTGGCTCAGCCTGTAATCCCGCGCCTTTGGGAGGCTGAGGTGAGTGGATTGCCTGAGCCCGCAGGTTCGAGATATGCCTGGGCAGTGAGACCTCATTTCTACAATAAATCAAAAAAATCAGCCGGGTGTGGTAGCACGTGCTTGTAATTCTGGCTACTTGGAAGGCTGAGGTGGAAGGATTGCGGGAGCCCAGCAGGTCAAGGCTGCGGTGGCCGGGAGCAGCCACTGCACTCCAGTCTGGGTGACAGATTGAGACTCCAACTCAAAAAAAAAAAGGAATGTCAGTAACAAAAGGTTGTAAGCTTGGATTACAAAATGTTTTGAAAGTACATTCAAAGGAACAGTAAACTGGGTGCGGTGGCTCATGCCTGTAAACCTAGCAGTTTGGGAGGCTGAGGTGAAAGGATTGCTTGAGTCCAGGAATACAAGACCAGTCTGGGCAACATACCAAGACCTGACCTGTCTCTACAGAAAAAAATTAGCTGGGTGTAGTGATACACATGTGTAGTCCCAGCTACTCAGGAGGTTGAGGTGAAAGGATCACCTGAACTCAGGAGGTTGAAGCTGTAGTGAGCCATGATGCAGTGAGCACTTCAGCCTGGGTGACAGAGTAATAGCTCAACTCTAACTCTCTCGTGCACACACGGAAGAGTAAAATTTTGCAGCTGTATACATCTTTGGAAATAAGAACTACTGTTTTTTCCTTTTTGTCTATGATAAAAAAACAAATTCATTCAATGTGACCCACATCACAGATATTAAAACCAAAAAATCAAGGCTGGGTGCGGTGGCTCATGCCCATAAGCCCAGCACTTTGGGAGGCCGAGGTGAGAAAATTGCCTGAGCCACGGGTTCAAGACCAGCCTGGGCAACTTGGTGAGACTGCTCTCTACAACAAATCAAGAAAAATTAGCCGGGTATGATGGCATATGCCTGTAGTTCCAGCTACTTGGAAGGCTAAAGCAGAAGAATTCCCTGAGCCCGGCAGGTCGAGGCTGCGGCGGCCATGAGCGCGCTGCTGCACTCCAGCCTGGGCAACAGAGTGAGACTCTAACTTAAAAAAAAAAAAAAAAACCTCAGAAATCACTAAGTAATAAAGAGAATTCATGAGGCTATAGAAGTTACTTAATGAAAAAACCAAATATGATTCCATTCAATAACTGGTCCACTAGCTAGATTTCTCTATTGAGAAAAAGCTATCCTGTCATGACCAGTCTAAATTACTAGACCCAGATATAATCTCACTGACTCTAAACCAATAAATCAATGTATCATTTTATTAAACAATTCTCTTGTAAAGCTGGGCGCGGTATAATCCCAGCACTTTGGAAGACTGAGGTGGGAAGATTACTTGAGCCTAGGAGTTCCAGACCAGCCTAGGCAACAAAGCAAGACCTTGTCTCTACAAAAAGAAAAATTAGCCTCTACAAAAAGAAAAATTAGCCAGGCATAGTGGCAGTCCCAGCTACTTGCTTGGGAGGCTGAGGCAGGAGGATTGCTTGAGTCCAGGAGTTCAAGGCTACAGCAATCTCTGACTGTGCCACTGTGCTCCAACCTGGGTGAGAGTAAAACTCTGCTTAAAAATAATAATAATTCCAGCCGGGCTTGGTGGCTCAGCCTGTAATCCCGCGCCTTTGGGAGGCTGAGGTGAGCAGACTGCCTGATCCCGCGGGTTCGAGACCCGCCTGGGCAGGCGAGACCTCATCTCTACAATAAATCAAAAAATTAGCCGGGCGTGGTAACGCGCGCCTGTAGTTCCAGCTATGGAAGGCTGAGGCGGAAGAATCACCGGAGCCCAGCAGGTCGAGGCTGCGGTGGCCGGGAGTGGCCACTGCACTCCAGTCTGGGCGACAGAGTGAGACTCCAACTCAAGAAAAAAAAAAAAAAAAAATATATATATATATTCT